CTTCGTTACTTACTGAATGAATGAATGAATGACGCGACGCCTAGCTCATTAAGACAGCGACTTGCCGCCACCTATTGGTGGTTTTATTTTTAAATCTACAAGTATCACTGACAATGTATTGCTTTATGTATTATATTAATAATACACTTAATGGAATGTTAAGAATATGACATAAAACATGACACAATTAATAAGGATAGAAAATATTTGCCTCTATAAAGGTAAAAAAATGCACCTTTAAATCAATTTAAGGGGGCAAATATTGTCCTTTAATAGAAAAGGTGTGACTGCGGTCTAAGTGGAAGAGAGGGGGTATGCAGAAGAATGTTAAATGCCCCAGGGGGTACGCCGCTGTAAAAAGTTTGAGAACCACTGCCTTAGGAGACGCTCTTTGACCGGAGACCCATCTTCAGATGCAAACAACAGTTAATGTGAGTGTGGGGTTTGGGGTCATAGCAGGGGTCAGACTGGAACATGCTAAAAGGTCAAAATGTTGCAGTTATTTACTCACCAGGTCGTGGTTGGTTGAGTTGGAATCATCCTCGGGAAAGGGGATGTATACAGCTAAGGCCATGCAGTTGGCGAAAATCGCTATCAATATAAAGATATCAAATGGCCTGAGATGAAAGTTAAGGAGTAGAACAAAGAGAATCAATAATTAAAAATAATTAAAGTCAGAGGCAATTAATATATACATCCAGTCATTCTTGTGAAGGTTTACAAGTTAAATTTGCTACTGGAATCAATCAAACAAGTAAAAAAGCTGGCATATATTGTACATATTTAAAACCATGGGGAGGGGAAAAATTTAAATTCAAGGTCAGAATGTGAATAACAAATCAAATTTCAACTCATCCCTCAATTTGGCTAGATTAAAATGGAATTACTCCAAACCTATTATTCAAAAGTTTCCTTTTTTTTCTTGCCATAAATTCAGATTTGTTACTTGGCTTGCTAGCATTTTCATTTCATTTTTTAAGGGTCTGAAAAACACATTTATGTTTTTATAAGCCCTATGTATTATTTAAATTACGGCATAAGATTGCTGATTTGTTTTTATTTCTTGCAATTTCAACAAAACTTCACCTTTGTTGATAAGTTGAGTACCTATATTTCCTTGGTGATATTTAATTCACAAACAATATTCAAAACATCACAGAAAACAAAATTTGTATGTTTACAAGGCATAAAAACATATATCATCTAATTTTTCAATGATCGTGGACTATGTTCCATCAACTGGCCTGAAACGGTCACACCGGCCCTGTTGATCTGTACATCTTTATTATTCAACTGAGCTAAACTTCATCTTGTGATTGCTCAAAAGTGTCAGAAGTAAGTAAATAGCAGTGAGTAGCTACTTGCATGCGGTTTAACAGTAAAAAGTCCATCACAACAGCACTGACTCAGCTGCTCTGCTTTCTTGCTAGTGAGACGTACAAAATGTAAATAAAACTGCTGTGAGTCAGAGGACCTAAAAATGCTGCAGTCTACATTCAATATTTGACAGTCAATCATATAAATCTATCCTCTGCTTTCACAAAAATGCCTAATTTTGTGTGTCAAGGATACATTTTACGCTACATTCTGGGTTGCGTCTCTCATTACACTTAATGCGTTTTTTAAATCTAGTGCAATGCAATGCTCTAATTTTACTCTGCTAAATACTCTTATTAGGCCATGAGCTAGGACACTAAAATGTTAGATTATGCACCATTCAGGAATCAGGGGTGGTCAAGTTCTCTCTGACTTTCCCATGAATCCCTTGAGGAAAGACAAGGCTGGTAGCGCAAGGTTAACATATTTCTACACAACACATTTCTACACAAATGTTAACACCTTCAATGCTTGTTTCACTGTACATTATATTGTATAACAACAATATGCAGCTTTAAAAAAATGAGACATTCTAGGCTATACATCCTCTCTCGAAGAGATGAATCTGAAATCTACAGCCTGGAAGCCATAGCTCCTTTATCTTCCCGTAGGGCTGGGGGGAACAGATGTTCTTTTCAAAGCTCAGCTACACAGGCTGACTTGCGTTTGAGATTAAGGTGTTTCTCACTGCAGGGAACACAGCTTCTCTCTAATAAAGACCACCAGACAAGCTTCTACCGGAGATCACGAGCTGGGATGTCTGCTCTAGATGCAAAGGTGGACTACTTTCATTTGTTTACTTGTTCTCTTGATGATTTGCTCAATTACTTCATCCCGCCTTCATCTATTTTCATCACAGGCCACAAGCAAACCACACCATATTTTAGTTTTCTAGAGAAATAATGCCAGAAGAAACTTCAAAGTGTATTTACAAACAACAAACTCGGATTTGAAGGACAGACCACTAGTTTTTCCATGTGTTCGAAAGCAAATCTGCAAAAATCAAATATAGTGAAAACCTGTATGCCACCATTTTTTCCATGAAACATACAAATATTTGAGTCAACTGTTCTTCACTAGTCTACTTTAACAGCCTCACTGTGTTTGTAATCATGCACTTGCAAACCATTCTAACTCAAACTTTTAGGGAAAGTGTTTTTAAAATCAAGACTCAGGAAGGAGTTGTCAGAAGCTTACTGGTGATGACGCTGAAGTCTGTTTGTTTTATAGCCTACATTTACGTCTTTACTTCTGGCGATTGTATTTAGGCTTCAAAATTCATAGATGTTCATTTGTGAAGATTAACCAAATGTCTAGAATCATCAACTTTTGTTGGTCACAGACCTTATATTCTGCCATAATCCAAAAGCAAATGGAAAAATCCTGTTGGTTTTTTGTTGGCCTGCAAAAATGCATCAATGCATCGCTCTGTAGCAATTTTTAACAAGCTGCCTCCAACCTGATGGACCTAACCGACCTGATAGACCTCCAACTCTTATGAAAATTAACCATGGTTTTATTATAGTAAAAGTGTACTAACCATAGTTTTTGGCGTATTGATTACCATTTGTATAACCACAGTTTTACTACAAATACCTTTGTTAAACTATGGTTAGTGTAGCAAAACCACGGTTAATTTGTGGTTACCATGGTTTACCTAACCAAGCTTTTTTGGTTTTATTTGTAGTAAAACCACAGTTAATTTTCGTAAGGGCTACCACCATTGGGTGGATATAGTCAAACAGCAATGTTCTGATAGCACCACAAAGCCAAAGCGCTTTTTTTTCTTCTGCGAAAGACAAAGTATTTTAAAGAAAGTTGGGGTCTAAACAACTTTGAGCTCCATTGTGTATAAAAAGAAGGAAAAAAGTAGTCATACAGGTTTGGAACGACACAAAGGTGAGTAAATGATGGCAAAATTGTCATTTTGGGGGAAAAAAAACTCCTTTAAACTTGGATATGAGAACATTTTAAACACCCCAAGGGCCTTGATATTAATCAATCCCAATGTTTTACACACAGTAAAGGATACTTCCATTCCACGAGGCTGATACAGGCCCGGCGGATGGGGTTGTTGAGGTTGAGGCAGAAGAGAGCTCTCTGCGGCCGCGTGTTGGCCGAACTGCCCTGTTTTTTGCTCTTGGCATACTGCTGCCGCTTCTTCTGGGCCAGCGAGCCGACCGGTACCACTGACGATACAGGCACGGAGGCTGCGGGGGGCGTGGCAGGAGTCGCAGCAGGCGGAGCAGAGCCGTTGGCGCTCATGGTGCGGGCGTGGGCCTGAGCGGGGCGTCCACCAGCATGGGCCTGCCAGGGGAGAGGGCACAAGGGTGGGCGCTGGAGCGGAGGGTCTCACCAACAGGCTGGCACGTCACCAGAGACAGGGACTCTGGTACTGCTGGCATAATTTGCCTCTGTGAAAGACAGAGAGGAGAGTTAGAGAGAAAACGAGAAAGCGCAGAGAATATAGTGGGAGGCTGTGCAGTGACTTTCTTCACTGCTACATTATATTATGCAACAATGTAGGCGTAGGACTAAAAGATGCATACAGTATGTCTTTGGGTCTAAAAGGCCAGTGTCTCAACCAAGGTTTGCGAGCAATCCAACGTGTAAAAGACGTGGGCACCAAAAGAACCTCTATATTTAAAGAGATAGTTAATAAAACATGAAAATCCGGCCCTTATTTACTTACTTTCACGTCAAAAACAGTATAAAAGTAGCCCATACGACTCTTTAGGTTTTTATGAAGCCGTATGATAGCTTTGTGTGAGGATGGACCCTTCTAGCAAAGTTGTTTATATTTTCTTTTCTTTCTTTTTTTAATTAATGTACATTTATAACACTATGAGCTAGGGCTGTGCGATATTGAAGAAAAATGCGATATGCGGTAACTCATTAAATAATGCGATATTCGATATGTGATACGATAATGCTTAAAGTGCCACATGCTCATATGAAACAGTTTTACTCAGCTGTATGTATGTTTGTATGTATGTATGTACCAAGAGTTCCTGTAAAACCACAACAAATTCCTTGTGTTTGCGCACACTTAAGTGGTGAATAAAGCTCATTCCGATTCTGATTCTGATAAGAAAGCACACCCCTACACCAACTTCTGAAAGTGAACGATATGTATTTTACTCGAGCATTACATAAAAATGTCATTTTAACATTAGTGTAATCATTTTAACATGAGTTTAGGAACTGAATAATAAAAAGGAAAAATAAAACACCGCTTAGTATTTACTCTTTGAATTCAATATGCACTGATTCTTATTTAAGCTACAAAAGTTATTTAGGTAAGAGCAGTGAGTGATTTTCTCTTTGTCTTTTGTTCATGGCCCCAAATATTGCAAGCTGTAGCGATATGCCAATTGCGATATGTACATTTGCGATATTTCAATAATTTCAATATATTGCACAGCCCTACTATGAGCTTTATTACCTGGTAAATGCTGCTGTGTGTGTGTTTCTAATATAAATTCTAAGGGAGTGATGGCAAATTTAACACATTTCTCTCTTCTGACCAACATAATCCTTTGATATTTTTTACCTCTTTTGGAAAGTCATAGAAGCACAATCATGCTTTTATTTTCCTTTGTTGTTGGAGCAAATGTGAACACAAAAATGTATTTGTTTTAATTTATAGAAGTTATAATTTATAGCGCTTTACCCAGCTATGACAGCCTCTGCTTTTGAGAACCCAGGAAATGTAAAAAGTATTTATTAGACAACAATTTAGGCCGTTATTTGACTTAAAGGGTTAGTTCATCCAAAAATTTAAATTAGCCGATAAATTACTTACCCTCAAGTCATCCTAGGTGTATATGACTTTCTTCTTCGCCAACAGTTGTACTCGGAAGCAGCTCCAGGAGGATGACGTAAGATGTCGGCATTGCGAAAACCAATGTTTGTTAACAGGAGCAAATGAAGCAAAGTTTCCTTACTTTAGCAAAGGAAAACCAGTCTCCTCTTGGCTTATATCGAAATC